GGGGCAAGCTGGGGTTCTGGGCGTCCCCGGGGACAGGCGGTGGCTTTCAGTGGGCCCAGGAACTGCACGAACAAATGCTCAGAGACCCAGAGGGGCTGTAAGTCACAGCAGCCCGGGAGAAAATGGCCCCTGTCCTGGCCAGAGCTCCGAGGGAGTGTGTGGTTGCTAGGGTACCAAAGAACGCGGCAGTGGGCGCGCTTCCGAGGGGGGAGCGGGCAGAGTGGGTGCCTGGGAACAGCTGAGGGACGTTTCAACAAACGGCCGGCCTTTCAGTGCAAGCCCTTTCATTATGTAGGAGCCCATGACCCTTTCCAAAAAGCATGCCGTGCCCTGGCCCGTGGGGCTCAGTGGTTGGAATGCCTGCCCATGAACCAAAGGGCCGCGGGTTCGATTCTAGTCGAGGGCTCGTACCTGGGTTGCAGGTTCGCTCCCTGCCCCTAGTTGGGCACGTGCAGGAGGCAACCAGTCGACGTGTCTCTCTCACATCAATGGACTAAATATCCTCAGGTGAGGAGAAAAAAAGAAGCATGCCAGGAAGGTGACGGAGAGCCAGCTTGCTCCTGGAAAGTCTCTAGGATCGGAACAGGAGACAGAGTTCTTGAGTTAGGGAAGCCCCGGTTTCAGGAACAGAATCTGAGAAGCTAAGCTGGTTGCAGGACAGTGGCCAAAGGCCACACAGGTGTTCCAGTTACTGGAGGAGGAAAGTGAGAAGTGTGTGGGGCAGCAGCTTTTGTCAGGTCTGAATCCTGCAAGTCCCTGCCCCGCCCCCTCCCCGGGAGGACATGAGTGACCTCCCTAACTCTGCTGTGCTCCCCGCTTGAGCTGGGGCTCACCAAGACCCCCGTGCTCTAAAATCCTTGAGGACACATCCATGAGCTAGCTGCCGCAGAACCTGAAGGCTGCCTGGGCTCCAATATGTTCAGGCCCTGCTATTGTCAATTCTCAGGCAAGAAAATGCCGCCTGCTGGCCCTGGTCTTCTAGGGAAGTCTGCAGGGCAAGCCCCGATCTAACCTCTGGAGCCCTCACTCTTGGCCCACCCCCAAGTTCCTGGCATACAATACACACCACTTACAATACACAGCACACAGCATGAGCCCTGCCCAGGGGTTCAGTTGGTTTCTCCACAGAAGAGACAGCAGATGCCTGTCCACTTTGGGTTCATGCTCATGACTCTTCTCAGCAGCTGTGTGACCTTCGATAAATGATTTAACCTCTCTGTATCTCAGCTTCCCTGCCTGCTAAATGAGAAATAAAATCTTCCATGTGGAGTTGCCATGGTGGTGGTGGTAAGGGCAATGTACGACGCTGTAGAAATAATACATGTAAAGTGCCAGGCCCGTGTGGACACAAAGACTTCCTTTCCCAGACTTGATCTGGTATCCCAGTCTTGCCAGTGATCATGGCCAAGGGAGAAAAGCCCAGGAGACTTGTTTGAATTTCATGTAAAGACCTTTGCAGGGATGTTGTTTGTTACTCACAGGTTCTCGACCTCATGTCAACAAATGCTCCTACTGAGGCCCTTACTGCTCTACCACAAAACCTAGCTCTTCAGGCATAACAGGAACTGATGCTGGGACCCTCAGTGCTATGACACTGTTTGTTCTCTTTGGAACTGCTTAATTCCACTGAAGGAATTTACCCACCTTGAGAGGGAAAAAAGGCTCACTCCTACTGTGATAAATGTATACATCCCCAGTTCTGTCTGGGCCCTACTCAGATACAACTTATTTTTTTTGGTAACAGCTTTATTGAGATATAATTCACATATCATTCAATTGACCCATTTAAAGTATTCAATTCAATAACTTATATTCACAGAGCTGTGCAACCATCACTACAATCAACTTACATACATTTTCATCGCCCTAGAAAGAAATGCTGCCACCCATGAGCAGCCACTGTCCATTTCCCCAACCCCCCAGCCCCTGGAAGTCACTGACCTGCTTTCTGTTTCTATGGATGGGTCTATTCTGGACATTTCACATGACTTTTGTGACTACCTGGTTTCTTTTATTTAGCACAATGTTTTCAAGGTTCACCCAGGTTGTAGCACTTCATTCCTTTTTATGGCTAGACCAGTTTACTTGTCCATTCATCCACCGATGAATACTTGAGCTGTTTCTACCTTTTGACTATTGTGAAAGCTGCTTCTATGAACAGGGGCATACAAGTTTTTGCGTGAGTTCAAGTTTTATGTTACTTTAGGACTCTCTACTGAGGAGTGGAATTGCTGCGTCATAAGGTAACTAACTCTATGTTAATGCTTTGAGGAACTGCCAGGCTGTTTTCCATAGCAATGCATTATTTTACATTCCCATTCACAGCAAATGTGGGCTCTAATTTCTCCCCATCATCACCAATACTTGTTATTGTCTGTCTTTTTGATTATAGCCATCCTGGTGGGTGGTGGAAACTACTGGTTTTGTGGCCATCAGGCTCATAGCCACCTGCCACACACTCACTTATCCTAGGCTTCAAAATGATTTTTAGAGACTTCCAGATATTTAAAATGACCACCCCTTCAGTGGATCATGTTCCCCTGAAAAGAACACCAAGACACCTTTGAAAAGACACAAGCATAGGCTGCCTGAGAGAGCTCCCAGAGGGATCAGACTCTCTTTGTGCGCACTATTCTAGCCACAGTTCCCACAGCAGGGGTAACACCACTGAAAAAGGTCACCCAAAAATTGTCCCTGACCCTAGCAGACAGATGTCATCAATGACACAACTTCTTCTCCAACAAGCCAGGTGAAAGGTGAAATGTAAATTCATTTGCAGATCATGAAACCCTGAATTTTGTCTTGGCTAACCAAGCAGAAGTTTATGTTTGAGCAAACATTTCTTGTTTGTACCTATGTAAATACTTCATAAATACCATGGGTCAAGTAAGAACAGTTTATGATTAGGCTTTTTTAAAAAGCCACCTGGCTCTCCAGGGAAAGACCAGCTGGATTCTGGGGGTGTCTTCACAGCCTGGGTTCAGCAATCAAGGGCCCTGTCTTCAGGGTCTGGTGCCAGATCCAAAAGCCAGTTCTACTTCTGATAACGGCCTGTGTTGCAGATGGCTGATGTGTTCTGTCCAGAGTCTTTTTATAAAAATATGTTTTTATTGATTTTTAGGGAGAGAGGAAGGGAGAGGAATAGAGAGATAGAAACATTGATGAGAGATCGATCGGCTACCTCCTGCACGCCCCCTACTGGAGATAGAGCCCGCAACCGGGGCGTGTGCCCTGACAGGGAATGGAACCTGTTACCTCTTAGCTCATGGGTTGACACTCAACCACTGAGGAACACTGGCCTGGCTGTCTAGAGTCTTAAGTGAAGCACCTGTCTTGTGAGAGGACTCAACAACTCATCCTGCAAGACCTCAGAGGGTCTAACCCCAGCCCAGCTATGACAACATTNTTGTGAGAGGACTCAACAACTCATCCTGCAAGACCTCAGAGGGTCTAACCACAGCCCAGCTATGACAGTGGTCATAGAATACCACTGTCATAGAATACCCTGAATACCCTCCTGACCCGCAACATTTGGCACTGGCAAAGCTCTGGATATAGTAGATGAGTGTTCTGAGTGGCTTCATCCACCCTCAGCTATGGGGAGGTGGGGACAGGGGGGAGGCAGCCCCTGGTAGTGGGAAGTGGCCTAGCACCATAGGCCCTGTAGCTGGCTAGGAGGGCCTTAGTACACTCCAGTGGGCACAAACAACTTCACAGAACACCAGACCCGACAGGACCACTCTGCTCCCATGAAAATCCAAGACAAATCGCATGTCATAATTTGGTCTGAACTCAGACAAAAATAATAATACTGTCCAAACCACAAACATGACTAGATAGCCCCCTATCCAGGCTAATACAAGTGACCACTGCTTCTTGGCCAACTAAAACTTTTTGTTTCGTTCCTTCTGCCTTCTAGATAAGATTGATTAAAATATCCAATCATAGAATCAGCCTGACAGTAACCAAAACAGAAGACTTCCCCCAGTCACCTAACATGGGCCCAAATCCTATCACAAGTCCTTCTAACTTAACCCTCTATGAGATGTCCCTAGATTCCCCACTGTGTTGTATGACTTAAAAATTCAAGGGCTGCCTTCACATTTTTGAGCCTCACAGGACCCTTTGTTTCCCTGTTCCTCTCAAATATGCCCCCTTACCCCCAGCAGGAAAGGCTCCCCACCCAGCTAGTACCCCACCAGCCAGACAGCTGCACTCCACCCCAGCCTCATCTGAGGGGGTTCAGTTCTCCCGGCTGGCTTGTGAAACTATTCAAACAAGCCAATCACCTCCTCCTGCAGGAACCAG